TAAAATTTTATTTTCTTTTTTGAATATTTCCTAAATGATGTTTAACAGTACAAGGGTATTTTCACAGTATGTCTGATAATATGTTTTTCTTCTGGAGAAACTTTTATTTGTTTTATTTGCTACAATAAAAGCAGTTTTGTATTTTCAGAACAAACCATCATTTCACAACAACTTGCCTATTTACCCTAATCTGCCTAGTTAACCTAATTAACCTAGTGAAGCTTTTAAATTTCACTTTAAGCTGTATAGAAGTGTCTTGAAAAAACATCAAGTAAAATATTATTTACTGTCATCATGGCAAAGATAAAATAAATCAGTTATTAGAGATGAGTTATTGAAACTATTTTAATCAACACGGGGAGAACATGCGAACTTCACAAAAAAATACCAACTGACCCTGCTGGAACTCGAACCAGTGACCTTCTTGCTGTGAGGCGACAGTGCTAACTACTGAGCCACCATGTCGCCTAAAACTATCATCAAGTACTAAATTAGTTACATTTACTTAAGTCAAACAAGTACGACTGTCTCCAGAAGAAAAAAAAATCATATATATATATATATATATATATATATATATATATATATATATATATATATATACATATATACATATATATATATACATATATTGACTTGTTTTACACAGTATATATAAATATACATTAGGGGTGTAACGGTTCACAAAAATCAAGGTTCAGTATACGTTTTCGATACAGCAAAAAAAGAAAAAAGCCAGAGGATTTCTCAGATTTGATTTTTTATTGTATTAAAACTAACATCATAAAAGTATGATCCTGTTTTTTTTTTTCTTTTACTTTAAACAATGACAGAGCTATACTGCAGGGTTTCTGCCTAGCAGCAAATAAAACAAATCCTTCTTTATCCTCAAAACCAAAAAAGCTGCTTATAAAAAAATAAATGTAATATTGTAGCAGTTAAACAAATAAAAAGAAAATAATAATTTAGTTTTTATATGGAACTCAGTTTCAATCTATTTGTAAGTATTTTTTTATTTTCAGAAAGATGAGCGTCCACCTTTTCCTCAGACAGCACAGATCTGCTTGTTTTGACTGTCACCTGCTATTTTAGTGGATCTAAAAGCAGGATTTATCTGACTGAAATGGGCTCATGAAGGAATAATGTAAAGGGGCTCTATTACATTTAACATTTTCTTAAAACCCGACATTTTCACTACTGATTAAGATCTCTCAGATGTTTTTTTCCACCACTCTCTTGATAGCGGTGATGGTGCATGACGTCTGAAGAGCGGTGGAGGCGTGTGCGTGCGTTGTACCTGAAGAGCTTGGAGGGATGCGGTGGAGAGGGGTGTGCGTCGTATTAAAGGATCGGATGGGGGGGTGGTGTATATACATACAGTTGAAGTCTTTTTCTAGCCCCCCTCTAAATTTTATTTTCATTTTTGAATATTTCCTTAATGATGTTTATTAGTGCAAGGAAATTTTCACAGTATGTCTGATAATACTTTTTTCTTCTGGAGAAACTTTTTTTTGTTTTATTTGCTACAATAAAAGCAGTTTTGTATTTTCAGAACAAACCATCATTTAACAATAACTTGCCTAATTACCCTAATCTGCCAAGTTAACCTAATTAAGCTAGTGAAGCTTTTAAATTTCACTTTAAGCTGTATAGAAGTGTCTTGAAAAAACATCTAGTAAAATATTATTTACTGTCATCATGGCAAAGATAAAATAAATCAGTTATTAGAGATGAGTTATTAAAACTATTATGTTTAGAAAAGTGTTAAAAAATGTCCCTCCGTTAAACAGAAATTAGGGGAAAAAATAAACACACAATTATTGTGTATGGCCATACACGCAAATCGCTTCACAATCATGAGGGGGGGTCTCTCCACACCACAACCAGTGTGCAGCATCCACTTGGATGATGCGACGGTAGCCACAGGACAACGGTGCCAGTGCGCTAACCACACAACAACTATAGGTGGAGTGAAGAGACAGTGATAGAGCCAGCTCAGGGGAAGGGTATGATTGGGAGGCCATGATTGTAAGGGCCGATAGAGGGACTTTGGCCAGGACACTTGGGTAATCCCCTGCTCTTTACGAGAAGTGCCATGGGATTTTGAATAACCTCAGAGAGTCAGGACCTCTGTTTAGCGTCTCATCTGAAAGACGGCGCCCACAGACAGTGTAATGTCTCCTTCAATTTTACTAGGGCATTAGGACTCACATAGAACACAGGTTGAGCGCCCCCTGCTGGCCACACTAACACCACTTGTTAAGTGTTTTAGATAAAAATATGCAGTTCACTAATCTAAGCATTTTTGAATAAATCAAAGAATAAACAATGTTTTGGACTGGTGTTTTTATAAACTAGAGGAGACAAAGTACAAAAGTAAAGCACTTACATAATAACATGAATCTACCACCCACTGAAGATAAAACTTTAATCAAACTTCACTTCAATGGTTATACTGTATCTGGTATTTCATCTAATCAGCCATAGTCCATGTTTGGAA